GGTTCATGGGGTCACGAAGAGTCGGACACGACTTAACGACTAAACAACAACAAAATGCTATAGTTTCTAGATGCTGCATTACAGTCTCTGCTATGAGTTCTGAGAATGGTAATCCCATGAGTGTTCCTCTGATTTGTTGGTATATTTGTCCATCAAACTGAAAGTAGGTGGAGAGGCAGAGGTTGATGAGGTCCATGATTCTGGGTATTTTCATCTTAGTGTATTTGGCTACGTCAGATGTGTTGGGTAGTACTTCTGCCATGGATTCTTTTGCTATGTCTGTATGTATCTATGGACATAAAGAGTGCTGTGACATCAGATAAAATCATAATTTCATCTTCTATTTTTAGGTCTAGATTTTCTGGAGGCACTGTAGTGGGGAGTTGATAGAATATTCGCTCCCCTCTGTGAGACGTCCAAGCTTTTTTGTGAGTTCAGCTCCGAATGTCAAAATTTGAAGTTAGGTTTTGTACTCAGTTACTCAGAAACATCACATGAAGCTCATTGGGACTTACTCTGAGGTGAGAGCATGAGAGAACATAGTACGACTTAGTCCAAAGGAAATGTGTAAGAGACTGCAATTAGTTCTAAAATTGTTTTTCTTGCATGTATACAGTGCTTTTTCTCATCTAAGTAAGTCAAAACAGCTTTATGGGTTCAAGGACAATGCTACTTCACACTGAATTAGTGAACTGATCACATTGAATTACTGTACTGGAGAATAAAGTCTCCCATCAACATGAAAATTTTATAGTTCTTCACTGTCTTTCATATATCAGTTATGTTAAAATTAATTATTATTACTGTTATTTTCTGTTTGTAGCTCAGAGAAGGGCAATATTCCATTAATACAGTTTTGTTCTGTATTCTGTTCTATATTGGTGGAATATATTTTAAAAAGTCTGTCTAGTCCTGCATTCTTTTTCCAGAAGGAACAATCAATCAAATGTTTCTGTAAGGTTTACTGGTAGCTCCTAAAGGCAACAACGATCTCTCATTGTTTGCTTTTAGCACCCAGTACAGAAGGGTCTTTGAAACTAGAGGTTCTTTCAAACTATTACACAAGTGACTTGCTTCCTCTCTTACTTCTTTAACTTCCTTCAACTATGCCTTAAAGACTGCTAAGCTTTTAAACTGTTTCTATGAACTTTTTGGCATAGCAGCATAGTCTTCAAACCCCACTGGAAGAGAGCCTCAGTGTGCAATAGAGTAAGAATAACCAAACTCACTTTTACTTTTGAGTATGCGCACACAGAATCACACTCTTGGGGAGGTGCGGTCATGTAATCTTGCAGGGCATAGCAAAAGTGCCCCTAAGTATCTCAATTTAAATGAACATATTTTCTTCCATTTACCTGTGCTTACAATGCAACAGCGAATTTTGCTGAGGTGAGATGTGCACACTCTGTACCACATATGATGTCTATATCTTAGAAGATACTTCTAAGTAGACCTGATACCCACTGAAGGAAAGTATGTTATCACCATACCTAATTTACTGAATAAGTATGCCTTTTATTTCAGACGCTGAGAGAGTGCCATCTTTATTCGGGCAATATCTTTGTTGAAGGTCAAAGGCTTTCTCTAACTCCTGGTGACTGAAGTGGCTTTCTCAGCAGCTGTATGGAAGAAATTTGCCTTCTTCCAGGATTTTCTTTTTGGGGGGTTTCCTCGGCTAATCTACAGCCCCGAGATTTCTTCGTGGTCTCCCATCCCAGCCCGACCCTACTTAGGTTCCTGGAGCTCAGCTAGTCAGAAATCTGTAGCTCCTGAGCGCCGGGAGAGGAGGGCGTCTCCTTCTAAGGGGCGCGCCTGCGTGCCTACGTGTGTGTGTGTGTGTGAGAGAGAGAGAGCGAGCGAGAGAGACGCGTGCGAGAGGCTCACCTTCGTTCACGCACGTGTCCGGCCCCGCTGGATCCTCGCTGGGAAAGCCGAGGGCGGCGGCCTCGCGACGCCTCCTTCCAGCCACGCCCACCGCGGCTCGGTTCCTTGCAGCGCCGGAGCCCGGGGGCGGCGCCGGCCCCAACTTTGCCTAACTTTCTTCCCGGGCGCGCCGCCGCACCTTTCCGCCCCGGGCGCTCCGTAATGAGCGTTCCGCGTCTGGCCTGCGCAGCGCGGTAGACCCCCC